GCAGCACCGCCCCGGCCCGGCACAATTGGCCCCTTGCACTGTCCCCCCGCTGTGGGACGGGCGGCTGTAAAGAGCAGCTTTTAAAGCCGAGGGATGTTTGAAAATGACAACTTTCCTGTGTTTGCCATGGGAATTTGCTCTGCGCGCGTGGGCCGAGGCACTGGAGCTGACAAGGACTTTGTAAAATGCCTCTCTGAGTGGCACAAGCAGAGCTGCCCTCCAGCCAGCTGAGTTTCCTACGAGCGATGCGCATAGCCCGGGACACGGAGCCCGGAGCCCAGGCCCGGTACAGGCTCAGCGGGGGCAAAGCGCAGCTGCAATTTCCTCTCTTTCCTTCAGAGTGGTCACCACAAAGTTGAGATCGGACCTCTGAAGTGGCCCTATCCCTGGAATTTCTTACATTTCCCTGCCACTCAAAGTGCTCAGTTCTTAAGCACCTAAAATATGGTGAAATCACAGGGACATACAGGTTGCAGGGAGCAAATGTTTATAATCTACTTGCTCATGCTGACATTTGAGTAGGAAGACTAAATTCAGGGCTAGGCCTGGTTACGCCATGCGTGTGTGTGTGCACACGTGTGTGTATGTGTGTGTGCACTGCTCCCTGCATGCGTGGCGTGCATGCCCTGGGTGTGCACACGGGTGGTCACGTGTGTGCTTGGAAGGTGGGAAATAAATAGCACAGGGTACTTTTGGTGCTAGTGTTGTCAAAGACCGAACAAAGTGCCTTCTGAAACGTTCAGAAAAGCTTTCAAAATCCTTCAGAAACCCCAAGGCCAAGAGGAAGTTGTTGCTGTTTGTTGAGGTTTAGGTGGTTTTGTACCAAATCATCTGCTTTGGCACGTACGGTCAGCAGCTCCCTCAGGGAGGGGTTTATCTTTCATGTTTGCATAATCTTCCCCTGGTTTGCTGTCCCTCTCTGCCTGTCTTCCTCCAAAGCCTGGCCTCACGGAGGACAGGAAGACGGATGAAGTATGTGCTCTTGCTGCCAGCGATAGCTTGGTTTCTCATCCTTGCTTTGAGACTGGAGCAGAGTTTTCCCTAACGCATTGGCCCTGGTGGCACAAGGCGGCAGCAGTTTTGATGACCCTGCTTGGAGCTGGTCGCTGCCACCCAGGCCAGCCTGCAGCCACGCTGCTTAGGGCCGTACTACTAAATTCCTCACTGTCTGGCACGGTGGTCTGACCCTCTACTGCCATGTCTTAAACTTTCTGGGCTTCTGACAGCAGAGGCTGGGCAGGGAAAAAACGCTCTTCCCACCAAAGCTCCTATGAGCTCCGCATACCCTAAGAGGCAAATATGCAGTTGATGTCCTGCACTTGCCTCTCCTCTGCACCCTGCTCAAAAAAAAAATGCAAAAACCCGTGTCATTTCTCATTTTTCCAAAGCCCGATGCTGACATGACCAATAGATTATAAAACATTACCAAACAGTGCAAAATCAAAGAAAACTCTGTTCCTGATGGGCACTTTGCTGCCATATGGTTAGTGAATGAATCCTAGAGACACGTTTTTTTTTTTCTTTTCTTAAGCCCAAATTCATCCTTCCTGTCAATTTCTGTCATTAACAATCAGATCTTAAACAAAAAGTAACAACGGGCATAGATGCCACCAAAAATAACCACAATCACAGCTCATTAAATCAAAAGCGAAGCAAACTGTGCAACTTTCTAAACTAGGGCATATTCCA